GAGCTTGGTGAAAGGAATCAGCCTTAGATGGCTCTAATGTCCTTGAGGACACCCTCAGAATACTTGGTGATGATACCCTCAAGGTACCCCAAATCCTTGGACTGTAGATCATTATCCCCACACCACTGACATTACCAATTCATAAGCATCTCTCTCTCTCTCTCTCTCTCACACACACACACACACACACACACACACACACACACACACGTTTGCTGCTAGTAGAGCAAATAGACCCGGTTCAAGGACCAGCTCTGCCTCCCCTGGCTGGGACCCTGGGCAAAGCGGTAATTTCTGAGTCTGAGTTTATTATGGATTAAATGGCAGTAATATCTGCTCTGGTTGTCTCACTGCCAAATGGATCACCTGTGACCCACAAGCACTCTACTCGTTGTGTTTGCTCAAAATAAATTTGTCGAATTGCATGATAAACATGAAGATACCTTATAAAGCATTATGAAAATGTAAGCTATTATTATTTCTTTTTTGACTGTTTAAAATAGAACTACCTAAGGGACTTCCATGTTTCTATTTGTCACCAAGCTATTTTCTTCAGGCCGAGTGTGCTGACTCAACCAGAAAAACCAAGAGAGGAAAGGTCGAAGCAACCCAAATCTGTTTATGGGAAGTTAAACTTCTACAGAAGGTTTAAAGGTCTGTACCACATCAGCGCAAATGTTACCCGTCTGTTAATCATAAATCAGGGTCACAGGCCAACGTCCACCACCGGGGACAGGAGGCCAGCGGGAGTGGGAATGACAGAGAGTGATCTCTCTGTCCCTGGCCTCTGCTCACTGAGGTCTCAAGTCAACATTTTTAAAAAAATAGATTTTATTGATTTTTTACAGAGAGGAAGGGAGAGGGATAGAGAGTTAGAAACATCAATGAGGTAGAAACACCGATCAGCTGCCTCCTGCACACTCCCTACTGGGTATGTGCCCGCAACCAAGGTACATGCCCTTGACCAGAATCGAACCTGGGACCCTTAAGTCTGCAGGCTGATGCTCTATCCACTGAGCCAAACTGGTTAGGGCTCAAGTCAACATTTTTTAAAGTACGATTGGAAGTTGTTCACATTATATTATTAAGTGAAAAAAATCCAGTTTCAGAGAAGCATGCAATACACAATATCATTCTTTTAAAATTAAAAACGTGGTATACACACATATTGTCTGTATGTCTATATAAACAGGGAAGAACCACCCTGGGGCTACCCCTAGCGAATGAGATGGGATGGAATGACTCATATTTCCCTGTTTAAACTTTTTCATGTTGGATTTCTTACTAAACAGGGTTACACATTACTGAATTTATTGTATGTAATAAATTAACAGGTGATATATGTCTAAATCTGGGAGAAGGTTGTGAGCATACATATATGAACAGAAGGTAACCATGGAAAAGCAGAGCTGCAAGTAACCTCAGCTGCAATTAACCTGTATCAGCCCTGCCAACTTGAGAAACAAGGAGACAGAGGCCCAGGAAGAATATGTCTGATGCCCCTTCTCAGTTGTGATGTTTAGGCTTATAAATCACATCCTATTGGTGTACGACTTGGAATCCCAATTTCCAATCCTTCTCAGCAAAATAACAGAAGGAACCCTACAGTGCGACTCTTTCTGCCTCCCTAGGAGAGATTCTATGGAAAGATAATAATTTATGAAATATGAATATTCAACTTCTGGAGAAATATAAGGCAGTGGAGAGTCCATTTGCTTCTCCATGTGCAAGGCAGTTGGATTTGCAAGAAGACAGACACCAGGGGCTTAGTCTTTGGAAGCCTGTGCTGGCCAGGCACTGGGAGCAGCACTTTTATGTACGGATGGAAGATGCTCACAGCCTCATCCCCCATCCCAGTGCCACCGTGGCAAGGCAGGGGGATGCTCTGCCAGCCTGAACCCTGGTGCCTGTGAACACAGGTGCAGCAGCCCAGAGAGAGGGTTGCTTTTTCCTCTAAACTGGCAAGGAACTCCTAGCAGCTACGCCCCATTCCCCAGCCTGGCACCTCAGGTCCAGCTGGGGCCTGGGTCTTCCCCAGAGACACCTTGGCCAACACAATGATGGCAACAGGGTCCCCACTGGCTAATGGAGCCCCAGGCCACCATTTAGAGTCAAGTTTCTTTTAAAAGGCAACATATCTTCACAATATGCCTGTTTTGTTTTGTTGTTTTGCTTGTTTTTTTTTTTTTTTTCAGAGAGTGGAACAAATACACCTCAATACATTGGTTCCAAATATCTTAAGCTGTAGTGCCTCCGAGGTGCTTGGTGCCAGTAGGAAAGATTGTAGACAGCATCAAACCAGTGGAAGGTTTGAGACTTTATAATCAGATGACAACGCTGCTCTGTGAGGTCCCCAAGCCCGTTCCACTTTCTCATCTGAGCAGTGGATGAAGGCCAAGGGCAACACACACATCAGAGTCCATTTCTGTGACAAAGAAACCTCAGTGCTGACACTCGTCCGTGTGGGAAGAGAATGAAGAAAGTGACAGATACGTAAATAAATCATCAGAATAAGCAGTGGTTGTGGAAAGAGTAGAAATGAGCCGGCATCTCAAAAACTGAGAGAACCTAACCCAATGGGTGCATTCAAGTTGTCTTTCCCAGGCCAAGACTCAAAAGAGCCCTCAGACAGGTAATGCTGGTAACAGCAGCAATCTTGAGCAGTTTGCTGCCAGGAAAGGTGTGAGGAAAAACAAATGTTTCAGCAGATCATGGTGTTTTCTGCCACCATCCTGTTTTTCCTGAAAACAAAAGCAAACAAACTTTCCCCTCCACAAGCTTTCATTAACCCCTTAATCCCGGGTGCCATCCAAGTAGACAAAAGAAGTTCTTTTACTTACAATGTGTGAGCAGAGCGTCCTCTTAGAGATCAGAAGCCGTGGGTGAGGCAGCAGCTGCCAAATAGGACGAATCTTTGGGAACACTCAGCTTTTATAGATTTCTCATCCAAGTTGTGTGGTGTGTGTGTGTTTTTTTTTCCTTTTGCCCTCCCCTTCCCGCCTTGGCCTGGTGGGGAGGTTCTTATCAAATACCTCTGATTGGCTCATAAACAGCCAGTCCCTTGTAATCATGCTCACATACTCATTGTATGCATAGGATGTTAAAGCTACAAGGGCTCTCTGCAGACCATGTAGTTCTTATTCCAGACTCTTCGATTGACTGGTGAAGACACAAGGCACAGAGGATTAGGGGATTTCCTCTACGTCAAACAGCTAATGCATGGCTGAGCTCTAGAATTCACGAAGGGAAATTGGGAGGAATGTTAGCTTAGCTCCATCACTTAAAAAATACACGACCTTGGTCAAGGTGGTCTTTATTTCTCTGAGCCTTACTTTTCCCCTCTGTAAAGTGGAATCACAACTTTACCAGAGCATTCTGTAGGTTTGTAAAGCGCCTGCTGGATGCATTTCTTTTGGGCACCCCTTCCTTGTGCCCCCAAACCAAGCTGGGCTCCCTAGGGTTTTTAATGCCGAACACACTGTCTTTATTTTCATTCTTTCTCAAATTTTACAGTTTTGTCTTAAAGCTGGTAAAGACTAGAATAAAACTCAAAGTGGCTGATCTAAGCCATCATCTCCCCTTGAGATGGCACTGTCCAGGTATGGGTTCATTCCACAGCTTTTCTCTTGAGCATTAAAGCAAAATCCAAATCAAGAGAAGGTAAATAAAAATAGTATGTGCTTCCTGAGTGAAATAATGAATGAAGCAAATAAACCTTATGGGGAAATCTAAAAACAATGAAATGACCATGATCCTGGGAAAGTATAACTTCTCAGGAATATATTTCTTTGGGATAATTCATAAAGTGGGGGGAGGTGGAGTCAAAGTGCTCAATGGTATTGAGTGTGACATTAGAATTTATGAGTGAACAAGTGAAATGTCAATGAAATGAAGGAAAAAGTATCGGAGAACTAGGTTGTCTAAATAGAGGTTAGGGTCAGATAGGTTCTAAAAGTGGGTAGTGTTAAACATCGGCTGTGATTATTAAAGGAAATTGAAATGTTCGAAACACAAAATCGAGGCTCATTTGTCTGGGGAAGTCTTGGCCACGGCCTGTTCTAAGGATAGTGGAGGGCGAGGCCAGGGAAAGCTCCCATCAGCACTCCTGAATCCACTTGCTGCCCAAAGGCATACTTTCTGGTTTCCCATCTCCACCGGGTGCTCATTCAAGCACCTCGTGCTCGATTGATCAGGTCAAGATGACCCAAACCGGGGAGGTTTCATCAGGTTTTATTTTGTCAAAGAAGAATGGAGGAAGTAGAGGTGGACGGTGGTGAAAGAACGGAGCGTGGGGTGAGTAACAGAACTTGGGGTGAGGACTGGGTGGTTGGAATTGTGACTAAAGCATTCCGCCCGCTGAGAGCTGCATGGTAAAAACAATTTCACTTATGCTACTAATACTAATTATTCTTGTTATGATCATGACAACAATAATAATAGCTACCTTTCTTAGGTCCTATGATGCATTGAATGCTTTTTATAGATATCTCCAATCCGAGCCCCTCTCTGAAATTGCCTGTTTTCTGGATAAGGAAACTCTGGTTCAGAGAAGGCGAGTAACTTGCCTTAGCTTCCCAAGACGGGCACACAGCGAGTCTGACTCGCTCTGACTCAGTGGTCTACCGCAGAGCTGCTTACATTTGGGTCACCAAAGACTGCATAGATTAGCAATGTCCCTCTCCTCCCGGCGCTGTATAACCTTGGACGCTAAACCGTCATTAATCAGGGAAGAATGACTTACGTAGGCAGACCCAGGTGGCCCCGTTCCTGCTGGGCATCGTTTCACGTGAACAGCAGACTGGCCAAGCACGTCAGAGGGCATGGTGCGCCCGCCCCCGACTGGTGCCACCTGCTGCTGCTCCTGTGGCATCAGCATTTGCCTGCTTCCAGGGTTTGATGTGTAACTGAAACTCAAAGTTCAAGACAGCGAGGCTACAGAGTACCAGGCCTTAGGAAAACAGTAGCTCCTGAGCAACACAGACGGTTGGCAGGTGTGTGTTTTAAGTCTCTTAACGCCATAAAAGATTCAAAATTGAGAGCTCACGGGACTTGGAGGCCGTGAAATACCGGGGAATCCTCCAACCTGTTCTGTCCTCAGTTTCACCATCTTTTGAAGTTTCATAGGAATTCAGGCTGTAGCTGCTCCGAAATGGTGCATTCAAACCACCATGCCCTCTCGCCTTTAAAAAAATGTGCTAAAATACACATAACGTAAAATTTTACCACCTTCACCGTTTTAAGTCTCCAGTCAGTAGGGTTCATTACATTCACACTGTTGCTCAACCAATCTCCAGAACTCCTTTTCTCTTGCAAAACTGAAACTCTAGATCCATTTAAACAACTCATCATTCCTGCCTCCCCCTCCCCACCCCCCATCCCCACCATCTCCACCCTGGAAACCACCATTCTATTCTCTGTCTCTGTGAATTTCACTATCCCAGGTCCCTCCTACAAGGGGAGTCACACAGTGTTAGTCATTTCCTGACTGGCTTGTTTCACTTAGCGTCATGTCTCCAAAGGTCATCCATGTTGTCGCATGTGTCAGAGTTTCCTCCCTCTTCAGGGCTGAGTAATATTCCATAGGCCAAGGGACACGGGCTGCTTCCACCTTTTGGCTGTTGTGAATAAAGCTACTTTAAACACGAGTGCACACGTATCTCTTTGAGACCAGGCTTTCAATTCCTCTGTGGCCCGTTTATTAATGTAACAGTTTTATTGAGATAGAATGTACATCCCATACAATTCACCTGAAGTTTACAATCCAGTGTTGTTGGGTACAGTCACAGAGTTAGAGTAGTAAATGTCAGTTTGGGAGAGTGATGTGGTAGGCTTTTTAAAATGCCAGCATCGGAGGGTACAGATGGTTTTTAAAGTACCAGAATGAAGCCTAGAGCAGAAGCCTTTGGGGAGCCTTTCATTTCCTCGGGGTGACTTTTTTTTAGACGCTCCTCCTCCCTAGGAAATGTAAACTCTGTGTGTTCTAGGGAGACTAGGATGCCTGCCTATATTCAAGCCTCCCGGGCCAGTGAGTTTAAGAGTATCCAAATTCTAGGCCTGAGCGGTACCAATATTTGAGACAAAAGAGTAAAATTGAAGCTTGAAATGTGGCCAAGAACTTGAGGCTTTCCTTGTCTGAGGAAGCAACTCTGTGCAGTGAGGATGCTGCAGAGGCAGAGGCAACTGGGAAGAATGGGCTGCAGAATTTCAGAATTACCGAGTGGCCAGTACTTTTCCGACAGGAAAGAGTTACGCTGGTCCGCAGTGACTGCCCAATCCCCACATTCCTTCAGCGTGGGGCTGTACTGCCTCGTCAGTGTTTTCTCCCTGCCTCTTGCTCAATCATCTCAAAGTTCAATTTTCCCCTCACTATCTAATCAGAATTGTTGGTTATTTATGTCATTAATGATCCAGCATATTTCTCACTTTTCCTTATCTCTTGGGTGGACTGTTTGGCCTGTAGGTTGGAAGGCATTGTGTGCTGTGGAAAGAGCCATAGGTGGGGAGGCACCAGGTCTGGGTGGGGGTCCTGCCCTGCCACTGGTTGGCTGTGGAATTGCAGGAAATCACTCTCAGCCTCCCTTCCCTGATGTGTGAAGGTGGCCTAGCAAAACCACTCCTGTGTAACTCCCCATGTTGCTGCACTGACTGAAGGGTATCCCCTAAATCAGCGACTTGTAACCGCTGTGTCGCAAGAATTTATAAACCATGCAATACCTGACTATTTAGTCAGGGGCACTGACCTCTTTTCCCGTAGATTGTCAAATAAAATATGACAACAGCCTACACAACAATAGCCGTCTGGTGTGAATGAATCAAAATTATACTCTTTTTTATTGTCAGATCGGCAAAAAATAATATATTTTTTGGTGTGCCACAGAATTTTAGTAATTAGTTTATCTGTGCCCTGAGATGAAAAAGGTTGAAAATCACTGCTCTAAGTGCTGTGAAAGTGATAATTATAAACTATTATAAATCATGTCACTTCACAGAAGCAGACATTACACTGTTCCTGTGGCAAAGAGATAAACAAAGAGATAAGGCCAGGCACATTGCACACACACACACACACACACACACACACACACACACACACACCCGAAAATCAGAAAACAAAGTTCTGGCCCTGGCTCTACCCTGAATAGCTGGATGACATTGCTCAAGGGAGGTCATGGCCATCTGTTGAGCACCTCCTCCTTACAGCCTTTTCTGGGCACTTCACATAGAATGTTTCACTTACTCCCCACGAAGTCAGCAGGGTAGGTGTTGTTTTGGAGAGGATGGAATTGATCCCATCTCTGCCTCAAGGTCACACTATGGTAAGCACCAGGGCAAGGACTGACGTACAGACTCTAAGGTCATCCTGGGACTTTGAACTCATCGTGTATACAGGGAAGCACAGGGTCTCTTCTAGTTGTGATATTTTATGGCCTCCCCGCCGCCCAA